CAGTTAACCAAATGAATTTGCTATGATTGTGTGTGTGTGTGAATATTATTTATTAAACTACAAAAATGAATTTAGATACTGTAATATCACATGAAATGCGACGTGCTGGCATTTGTGGGTATCACGTGACAAGTTCATCCGTTGATCCGCATTGTGTCAACACAGGTGGCGCTATTCAGCACAGACCTGTGTCTTATGACGCATAACTAGCCTCTGAAGGCTAAATATCCATCCGCTACCATTTTTCTCAGCGTTTCTGCCGCGGAACTATATAAAAGTATTTTTCTTGTTTTGAACACATCCTCTCCCGATTTTTAGCAAGATTTAATCTTTAATGAGTTGATACATTAAAATAACACACAACACTCAATCAGAATATCTTATTTTATTAACATTAAAATGCATGTAAATTGGGAGGTCAAAGGTCTAATTTTTCTCAATATCCTCGGGGGCGGAGCTACGTCACGGACGTTCTACGTTGCTAAGACGCGCACCACTGTACCACGTATTTCTATGGGCTTTGTGCGCGCTACTGTGGAACGCCGGTGGAGCCGGTGAAAACTCGAGAAAACAACACAAACTCAACTTTGAAGTAATCCTGAACAACCAAATTTATATATGTTACACACGTAGGGCTAATCTTGTTACACTGTTCAGGGGAGTCTCAACAAACATCCCAAAGTACCGTTTTCTGCGAGTTTTTGGTCTTTGTTTTCACCGCGAGGGTTGCCAGGCGGTAGAAATTGCCCGGATGTCCGCCCCGAGGATTGCATTGACACCACTGTGTCAACACAGGTGGCGCTATTCAGCACAGACGGTTGGTTTGCGGCGATCTGCGTGTCAATGGTTGATCCGATGATCAGTCACGACACCGTCCCTCAAGGGACGGTGGTCACGAAGAAGAAGAGATCAAATGGAAAGTGGTAAAAACGAAAGCTTTTTCACAGAATGCCAATAGCGGGCGACATAATTTACTACCTGGTCGGAATACTGTAAAATGAATAATTTTCACTGGGTTTAAATTTCACTGATTTACAATTTCAGACATATTCAGTGGGTTTTAAATTCACGGTTTCGTCATTAAGACAATGTGTTCTATACTAAGTTTTACATATTCACTGTGTTTTAATTTAGCGCATTTCTCCAGTCAGCGAAATAAGCTAAATTAAAACCCAGTGAATAATTACCCCCTTTACAGTATGCGATAAGCACCAACACATTCAAATGTCACCCTGAATTGTTGGCTGAATTGAAATGCACAATGTCAGAGTTTAAAATATTAAATTATTAATTTAAACCGCAAATTCCTAATAAGATTAATTCCTTCTCTTTCAGACTCCATATCACCGCTTTTTGCGTATGTTGCAATGCACCTCTCACTTCATCGGCAAAAGCACGGTTACGCAAGTCGATGCAACTTACCGACATGATACTAGGGGCGACGACCGGAAATATGGACCTAGTAGGCTATCATCTAAACACAAATGGAAAAGGGTTTACAATTATTTAACCTCTAGTTTGACATTTGTTTATTATATTTACCAAACAAGAAGTATCTCATTCCAGATGAGGATGTTGCACGACGCTTATCAAACAGACCGACTTAAATTGATCTTCTTTCAGTGCACGCACCTTTTTCGTTGTTCAATCCATCCATCTATCTATCCTCCAGATGCCTAGTGGCACCTCAGACTAGTAATACAATTGTAGTCTGAGGTGGCACATGGGACCTCCACCGAACGGCTTCATTCTGTATTATCTGCTGCAACTCTGGTTTCAGCCCATGACTCAATCCAGTCTTGTTTCTTTCCTTCTCAACAATGCGTGGCTAAGTTCTTATGGGTCTATCTAGTTTCCTTTTTCCTTCTGGGGTCCATGTCAATGCTCGTAAGGTGTGCCCATAAATTTCCATGTGTAACTTCATATTTTACTATAGCACTCAGTTTCTCCATTCCCATCCTGAAATAGTTCTTCATTCCTAACATGGTCTTGCCATTTTACCTTCAATATCCTCCTTCAGCACTTTGTTTGGAAAGTATTGAGTTTTCTTTTGTCACCTTTTGCAATCTTCCAAGTCTCAGATCCATATAACAGCACTGACAACACCAATGATTTAATATAAGTTTAGTTGCTCTCTTTTTGTTACTGTTCCATATTTTATTGAGCTGCATTATTCCATTACTCCCCTTTGAAACTCTGTTTTCCATGTCTCCCATTCCTCCTCCTGATTTTGTTAAGGTTTCACCCAGGTACACAAATTTGTTGACATCCTCGACAACTTCACCATCGATGTAAATTCTGTCAAATTTTTTTGCATTAATTCTCATTGTTGTTTGTCTTCTGTGAATTCACTTTTAGGTCAACTCGTTTAGATTCTGTAGATAACCTGTCAGTTTTTTATTGGATTTTTTTTTCTGGATGCTATCAGTGCCAAATCATCTGCGAAATACAAATCATCAAACTTCCATCTAATTCCCGTTTCACTATTTTGTACAGTCCTTCTCATTATCCAATTGACCACTATGAGAAATAAAATAAACATGACATATCAAGTTGCATCCTGTTTTGATGACAAACCATTGCGAAGTTTTCCATCGGTGTATCACTGCACATTTGAACTCACCATAAAAAGCTTTCACAAGACTTATTAACTTTTCTGGTATACCATACATTTTTGATTTTTCACTGTGATAATCACTGTACATTTCTGTATTTTGACGAGTTGCGAAGTTGTACACGCTGCATGAAAACCATATCGAATACGACGCAGAGCAAATACTGTGAAGCCTGACATGTGTATGGTCGAAGGAAGCGGGCGTATGCTCCCTGGTGATTTCTAATGAAAGTTCTGAATTTTATCCTAAATGGGGGCGGGGTCTTAGGTGTAGATAGGTTTAACTAAAAATGGAGACTCAAAGTTCTACATCTGATAAAAACTGTACAATGAAAACACGGCAAAATATACATTTGAACAAAATTCAATAATTTTTCTTGATTTCATATATACATCAAATAAAATGCACTTAATATGCTAGCTACCGGGAGGTATTTCCCAATTTTTTTTACATTTGAATAAAGTGTATAAATTTTGTTATACTTCTCATGACAAAGTTAATGTAAATCTCAGTTTAAGTTATACATGACTCTGGGAAGAGGAAATAACTCCATTGTAATAATCTTGAAAAAGTGTACTTTCAACTTTATCAAAACTGTCGGGTGTCAGTGCCCGCATAGACTTTCAATGTGTACCCCTAGGGGACACTGTAAATTATGCAAATTAGCGTGAGTGAGAATGTTCCAACACAAAAGTAATTACTTGTAAGTTCTGTAACTGCTTCGTCGAGCTGCCCGAATTTGGCCATTCTACTAAAGTTTGAGTGCCAACTTTCAAACTTACTACCGGTAACTTCCCAACTTATACAAGGCTCTTCCACAGTCCCTCAACACCGGTGTTGAGTAAAAGTGTGGCTCTTCCAAAGTTGTTATTTCAACTTGCCAACCTACTAACTTCCTAATTTATATTTCCCGTTGGTTAAAATAAAATGCTATATTTAATTTCATTCTACAAACAAAATATCTTGTTTATTTATTCCAGTGAATGCGTATCATTATAAAAACTATTTTCGTCTAGTATGTTACTGAACTGATCTAAACTATATGCGTGTCAATAGAACGGGCCCTAAGTTTAGATTGGACAAAAACTAAAGCGTGTTGCAACTGAAAGCTGCATGCCATTTTGTTAACTGACTGTCCGAATAATTCCCAGAACCCCTGTAATTTGAATGGATCAAACACTATTCACTAACTGTGTTTAAAAGGCGGTGGTAGTCGCGCCACGCATGCGCGAGATATGGGTCTCAAATGAGCAAACATGGCGACTATGACTGTTGCCCAGATGGCCATAGCGTGACATTGTTTACAAACAAGCGTCTACCCATGAGCGTTTTTAGCGTGTGTTATCATCGCTTGGTGAAATAATGTTTGTAGTAAATATTTTAAACAAATGTGCAGTTGAGTCGAAGCATATATACTAGGCAGAATTTGAAACGTCAAAAAAGTGTCTGTAAGGTGTTAGGATTAGGTAGCCAATCCATTTCAAATAATTTATAATAATTTTTCTTTTGTGATATGTTTGTCGCATATTTCAATCAGTGAAATTATTGCAATTCAGATTTATGACTGTTAATGTCTGACATTAAATAAAATACCACCTATTGTCAGTAACATGGACTGAAGTGTCTTTAGTTGATATCGGTGAGGGCGTTTTAATGTGTATTTAAATATTCTGTATGAAATGCTAGCAGTTTGCTATAAGTATAACAGCCTCTTCAATGTGCTCCAATATCTTGTTCTTTATGCTTGTATTGCAGTTCGTTTCCTTTTCTCGTCCAAGTTGACACTGTGAGGGAGGGGTCATTATTGTTTAAATAACCTCTAGCACTCTAAAAACGAAATATGTGTAAAGGTCGGGCAAGGATGTACTGTACATGTTCAGTATTTCATAATTTTTAGCGAAAACAATTTTTATTCTGGAAATGTTCCACATATTTGCAAAGTATGAATGCAACTTTAATCCCGGATACATTGAAAACCTTTGTTTACATGTAGATTATGAATAAATAAGACTGAATTATGATGCAATACTTTTTGTTTCTTTCATTCTTAATACATGGTCGAACACTGTTACCATATTTTTTATTTCATAATGGCGTTGGTCGACATGCAAAGTCTCTGTAAACAATGTATTACACTTGCTTGGTATCTGCTGTATTGGATCACATCAAACACAGAGCAATGACCTCTGCCCTCTAATCTGTAAAATTAATATTTACTTTACAATTTGAGAGTAGGCAATCTCCATCAAAGACACCATTTTATTTACAGTATTGACCAACATTTTTTACACACACACACACACACACACACACACACACGGACAACATCACAACATAGGCTCCCAGTTGCAGATAACTCAACTGAATGAAAACAGAGCAAAATTATTAATAGGGATGTTATCATTACTTTACTTCATTTTTTGGGCAAACATCTCCATCGGAGACATCAGACTATGTACAATGATTGGCTGAAAATCTAAAACTTAAAAGTAGTCATTGCTAAAAAAATGTCATATTTAAAAACTAGCAACACCTAAATTAGTCTGGTACACACAGTGAAAAATAACAACCTGTAAAAAAAAAGAAGAAGCTCGCCGGGATAAAAATGCTTTGTATATCTCCATAAAAGAACAAGAGTTTAGAAAATGTTTTACTATACACATAGAAAAAACCTTGCATTGTGATCAGATATTTTTTGATTGACACTTTCGTATATATCGAAAGAGTTTTAGTCTTTCTTTCAGCCGCAACTGATTAATTGTTGTCCATGATTTATGGGCAAACACCCCCCTTGAATTATATGGTATGACCACAAGAGTTACATGAAGACCAACTGGATCAGGCCAAAAAAAAAAAAAAAAAATAATTTTTGTTGACATGCAAGTACCCCCAACTAAAAATGGTTTGTTCCAATTGCCATGAAAGATCATTTTAAAATATCTAGGGCAGAGAGTAAAATGAAATCAATATTTCTACGCTTAGTTTTTGACAAACCATCAGATTCCGAAAAAAATAGGGGGGGGCACAAAATAGACACATTGAATCCAGATTTAGGGAACTGTACTGCTTTTAAAATTGAAATATTAAATTATGTTAGCAATTTTCCCATGAACAAGACAACCAAATTCAAAGACAAAGAGTTATCCCCATATTGCTGCCATAGTAACCTCGATCAGTATCCCCATATCTATGGCAACTCTGCTTTGTGTGGACAACATTGAAATATACTTTATCATATCACAAGTATAATCAATGCCAGACGAGCTGACAAAATTTGCATCTTTAAGAAATGTATATTTCTATCATAACCATACAAGGGCCCTTTAAACAGTGTGACGTGAGTATTTACAGTCCAGATGTTATCGCTTTTAGTGGCGATCCAAGGGCACAACTTCGTTTCCAATCACAATAAATTATACAATCTCATTAGAAACTCACACCGAGGTAGATTTCTTTAACCACCCATAGAGGGCCAATGTCAGTTTGCTACAACTCAAGAGGGCGCTGTTCACTTTTGTTAGTTTAGCATTCCAATGATAATATACTTCAAGCATGGGAAGCTTGGGAGAATAAATTTCTTTTTATATAAACTTTTATAAACAGTATTTACAAACCATCACTATGGCAACTGTGACTGTTTAGCACTTTGTTCTCTCGCAGTTTCTTCCACGTACCAACACTGTCACAGAAGTTCTCATTTTCAGTTATATTGATTTTTAATTCACCAGACTTGCCAAGTTAGTTTTTACCTCAAAAATAGACCACGAAAACATGCAGTATGGGAACCAATTAGAATATGAATAATCTTAGCGTTGGTTGCGTGCATGCATGGTTGAGGGATAGGATAGGACGTACTTTACATTTCTTGGACACACAAATATTTAAAAGATACTATATTGCATTTATGAATCAAATAGTGTACAAATGCTGAACTAGGATATCAGCTGATGAGAGTACTTTCAGATTATGCAGCTTTTACAGAATGTTTCAAGGTCATTGTTGCTTTTAAGTTATCAATCTAGAAAATCCAGTGAATATACAAAAAACAAGACCCCTTGTGTCCTACACACAAGTCCCTTTTGACCATATTTAGAACGAGCCTAATAAATATTTGAATATACACCCATATAAGGTATTTTAAATGAATATTCATAACAAGTGCTCCCCGCCTAATGTCCAGACCATATTTAGAAAGAGCCTAATAAATATTCAAATATACACCCATATATGGTATTTTTAAATGAATATTCGTAACATAATTACACATAACGGGTAGAGATTGTCTGAAAAAATCACCCACATGGAAGTAACTATTTGAAGATGCTGCATAAAATTGCTTGGTAGTTGTGATTATTCAACCTGTTCCCCAAACTAAATCTAGATAACAAAAAAAAAATACATTTCTAGGATTTTTGGCCACTTATAAAAATATTCTGTTTCTCTTTTTTTTTCTGCTCAAAATTTTCAATTAGTCTTTTTATTCCCTCCCTGCTGATTACGGAAAAGTACCAGATTAGATCATTGCACTTGACTATTCAGATAAGACATAAAACTGTTGGTATGCCTATAATTGTGTATACAGCATAACCAATAAAAGTTGTCGACGCAGACAATGAGGACACACATTATGCCCATGTATGCCTCACCCCTGCAGTGTATGTTGATTAAAACGGGCATGAAAAAATAAGTTTTTTTTTTCACATTGCAAAAAGTTCATAATAGTGACAAAATCAAATTATCTTAAGAAACAGAATAATTTTTTTGGTGGCATTAGCAAAATATACAACTTATTAACTATATATGAATTTTCTTCTTTTCTTTTAAAAATAAAAATAAATTTCAACAAAATACCACAGGAATAATTGTTGTATATTTATCCAAATGAATCATTTGCTTTCCAGCTGTCCGGACACAACCATTGTTTGAACCCCAAAAATCTAATTATAGTATAATCTGTCAAAAATACCCGCTTCGGGTCTGTGAAGTTGAAAGGTCATGTCACAGGTCACCATCTTGCAGCTAATAGTTTCCTTATTTGGTAAGGTTGAAGTTAGCACATTAGCATAATGATTTGCATGTCTCTTGATGCCTCATTTTGAGTTCTGTAATGCTTTAACAGTTTAGCATAAAAGAGTCGGTAAACACAGAAATACAATTTTGCGAAGCACAATGTACTACGTCGTTGGGCGAACTTCAGCCCTACTTGTTGTCGATAGGTCCTGCGGTAAGGTCTGTGAAGCTGTAGAAATAGTACTTTGATTTGAAGGAGATAAATTTTGTGTCGTTGTAATTTCTGACGTTTTTGCATGGGACACCATAGGCATCTCAATATCTTGCGGCGACGGTGGATTGCAATCGCTTAGCGGTGACTTATCATCATCGCGTGTTAACGAGGACATTGATGGAGATGGTGAACACTGGTCTTCATCCATGTTTTCAGAAGTTTCATTACCAGAGACATACCTAATGCATTTTTTTCTTCCTCCTACAAACGATAATAAAACAGAATTTCAACAATAGCGTTTTGACTGGATCTTTAATAAGTGAATGTTTTTTTTTTATCTCTTCATTGTCAATTAATGTTTCAGATTCCTAACTGAAAATACTGTTGTGTTCTGCATGGTTTCAAAATTAAATCTGACAAACGAACATTTACATATTTATAACGAGCAGTCTTTAGGGATCTGATAATACAATGCTGGATCATTTGAATATGACATATTTTGGTCACAGACACACCTCTGGTGTTTATATAAGTGTATGAGCTACTAATAGTGTAAATATAGTCCTTATACAAACATTCATGCATTAGCTAAGTTTAGAACAAAAATGCTGATCCTGTTTATACCATCAGTAGAATGAACACCCTACCCGCTACTCCAACCTCCACCCAGGGTAAAGTGAAATATTTGCAGCTCATAAAAATACCACACGATAACGTGAAAACGGAACGACTGTTGGACGTGACCTTACAAATGCTTATTCCGTGACTTTTCAAAAAAAATTCAGTGAGATGAAATAGTTTTATTTCATGAATACAAGATTTTTTGCTTACAAAATGAAAAGAAAATTTTAAATGACATTATGCTAAAAGAGATCAGGGAAAAAAAAACATAAACCAGACAGCAAATCATGCATGAGAGAATATATATAAGATGAGATTTCATCTTATTCAACTGTGCCACAAACGGCTCGCATGGAAAGCATTATGTCACTACAATCACCCGAATAAAAAAATAAAAAAAAATATATGTTGAAATTTTACAATCGGTGTACTACTTACCAAAAAAAAAAATCATTTCCGCAAAGTATCATAGCAACCCTTGGAGCACCTTTTTTTCCTGGTAAAATAGTGTGCCTGCTTTTATGTATTTTTTTTTTTTTTTCAATGATTTTGGACCAGATAAAAAAAATTCTAATTTGCTATTGATCAAAATTTTCAGAAAAATGATGAAAAAATGATGTGGGTTTAAAAAGGTTTACGGGAGATTGAAAAGTGTTATGTGTGTGTGTGGTCGTAAGCTCATTCCCCAAACTATAGTCACATTAAAATTTAATAAAACACACATATGTGCTTTAGAAACCCTCATATTTGATAAATGCTAAGACAGTGAGCAGCTGATTTTCAATCATTGAATTGCCTACCTGCATGGTTTGCACCAGTGGTGTTGTTGATCTAAGCCAAATCTAGCTCGACACTTCTTTGGATTTGATGCTTCTGCTGGAAAAATAGATAAATCGAAAACAATGTTGAAAACAATAATGATATACTTGTACACAACATGGGTGGCCATTATTTTCCTAAATATTGATAGAGGGCGCCGTTTCAACAATGAATACTACTGAAGAATAGTTTATTTTCACTTAGAATTTATTTTTGTTGAAAGAAAAAAATTAGTGGAAAAAAAATCCACAATAAAATACTTTTTTCTTCTCACTGCTTCCCAAGTACGGTACCACCTATTGTGAAGCTACGTCACAGAGGGTTCTATGTTGCTAAGATGTGCACCATTAAACCATATATTTCTATGGGCTCTGTGAGAGCTGCTGTGGAACGCATATCAAGGATTTGCCAGTTATAATATAATTTTACATCTTCAAAATGAATTTAATTTTATTTAGTGCATTTTACTTTTCAACAAAAACAGTAAAATAGATAGTCTCACAATCATACAGGATCAGGTTTGATAATCCTACAAGGCACATACAATGTGTGTAAAATACATTGTTTCTGTGACATTTGGACACGCAACAGAACTCATATTAAATTCCCAATGAAAATATCTTTTTAATTATGTAATTAACCAAAAAGTTGAAAACTTACTCAGGAAAAAATTTATGCCTCTTTGGGACCTTTCTATTAATAGTTAAACAAATGACATTTCAAGCAAAGAACATTCTTCGAAATAAAGTAATTCTATTCAAAACGCTACGCAAGTGGATTGGTCACAGATATTCTCCATTTTCAGCAGTCTAGAATTTGCAAGCAATTTTTCCCCGAAAATCATTAAATCTGTCATGGCAACTGAAAATGATTTTCCATTGAAAACAGTAATAATTACATTACTCGGTATTAAATACACTCTCATGTCAGAGGTCACATACTTTTGCTTTATAAAAACATTTCAGAGCAGAGACCTCTGGAAGAAAAAACCTCATAGGTCGCATTTCTTCCCACTTTTTCATTTACATCCTACCGTTTCCAATATTTTATTCGGAGATCATTTTCAATTAAATGAACCAAATGCTAATGAGTGGAAACGAGACTTTCAGTTGATATCAGGCATTCCTTTGTGTACCCTGTCGACGGCGACTTCCTTGAATGCGACATAAGCAGCAACATCTAATTGCATGCAACACTTTTCATTATCTATACACCGTGATCAAAAGCTGCCGCAAAGCACAAATAAATATCACATAAACAAGCCAGAAATGATGTAAAGCACAAATCAAATTGAATTGTTCTTTTAGTTATTCAGTTCCAGGGTACAGAATTACATTCAACACTCATTTAACAAAGTTAATCAGCCACTAGGAGACTTTCGTAGAAAAAAAATAACTTTAAAGTAGCTGACTTTGAGGATTTCAGAATTTGAAACTTTTCTGAAAAAAAGCCAAAAAAGTTTGCCTTCGTGCAGAGAGATATTCATTAAATCATTTTTTTATGTTAAGTTGATTTAAAAAAACAACAACATTAATCACTTCACCATAATGACAAAATATACAATCCTCCATGTTTAATCTTCCAAAGCCTCCACACAAAAACGAACAAGATTGGTGTACCTTCACAAAACTGCAGAAAACTTCACACACAAATTTGAGACTGGAAAACAAATGAATAATCAAGTTGTACCTACCTGAATTGTCACCCTGAGATTTATCTCGTTTCCTCTTTTTTTTCTTGCCATGAACAGCGTAGTTATCTCTGGCACTCCACCCTGGGTAAAGCTGCATATGAAGCTGCCTTTCTTTTCTGGCCAATTCATAATATTTTGCCTGTTCTTCTCGAGTTAATGCATGCCACTAACAAATCAATCCACACACAAAAATACTGAATATTTTTATATTTAAAAAAAAAAAATATTTTTAACTGCCATATAGATTGGTATGCAAATGAGCTACTGTTAATTTTCCGATAAGGTTATATATGGAAATAAAAAGGTAATCTACACAAATTAACTATTGCTCCTTTTTCTATTTAAGGTCATATATGTAAATGACCAAGAAAATCTATGCAAATGACTACTGCTAATTTTTCTATATAAGGTTATATATGCAAATGACCAAGGTAATTTATGCAAATGACTACTGCTAATTTTTCTATATAAGGTTATATATGCAAATGACCAAGGTAATCTATGCAAATGTACTGCTATTTTTCTATATAAGGTCACATATGCAAATGACCAAAGTAATCTATGCAAATGTGATATTGATAATGTTTTATATATGGTCATATGTGCAAAAAATAAGGTAATCTATGCAAATGAATAAATTTAGAGCACACAACTGATATAAAAGAATTTTGACTTACCCGCCTTCCTAATATTTGATTAATAGCCGCACTTTCCTTCAGCGTGCATTCGGCGACAACTTTGGCTCTCATTTCCTTCATATAGAGCATAAATGCATTTAAAGGTTTCTTGATATGAGGGGTTTTTTGTGGTTTTTGCTTCTCAGATTTTTGTCTGTAGGGTGATATTAAACAGATAGTTGGAACCTCTCTGAAAGTAGTAAGAAATTAATAATGTACCGATGGACAATCACAAAGTTAGTACATGTTACCATGGTGATGTGTAATAGGTTAAAGGTGCCCGTAAGATGATATTAAACAGATAGTTGGAACCTCTCTGAAAGTAGTAAGAAATTAATAATGTACCGATGGACAATCACAAAGTTAGTACATGTTACCATGGTGATGTGTAATAGGTTAAAGGTGCCCGTAAGATGATATTAAACAGATAGTTGGAACCTCTCTGAAAGTACCAAGAAATTAATAATGTAAACATGAACAAACACAGATAGTACTAATAGTTACCATGGTGATGTGTAACATATATATTTGAATGTTAAAGTTGCATATCTGTAGAAAATCTGACCCCTGAATGCACCATAAGGATTTAAAATTTTGTAAAAAACCCTAAAATAAATGTAAATGACATGATTACAGCTTTACAGTGAAAATTAAAGTTTGATTTGGGAATTAGTCATCATAATCTCATGTGCAGACTAGCTTCAGTCGTCCAAGATCTGTTGCCATAGCAACTATATTTATCATATAGTCTCTAAGTCAACATCAAATCTGATGGAAGCCTCAAAGTCAACATCAACTTAGATGGGAGCCTCCAAGTCAACATCAAATCTGATGAGAGCCCCAAGTCAACATCAAATCTGATGAGAGTCCTCAAGTCAACATCAATTCTGATGAGAGCCCCCAAGTTGATCTAATTACCTAAGAAATGCCTTTAAGTCAAATAAAACACTAAAAAGGGCCCATAAGCCAAACAAGCACCTCATAGGAATATTCATAAAGGCTCCCTAAGTCAAACTAAATTTAGATACAAGTCCTTAACTTTTTCTGAGAGCACCTTAAGTCAAACAAAATTGTGATTGGAACATCTTACCTGTCATTGTTTTGTTGCTGTAAATCTTGTTTTGCACCTGGAGTCGTAACGATAGCCGAATGAGGTATTCCCGTGATGGTCATACCGGGATGATGTGGAATTGCTGAATGACCAAACCTTGTCATATTTGCCGTATTGACAGTAAGGGCTGCTGGATAAGCACCACGGAATGCTGCAGTTGTCATGGGATACACTGGCTGACCTGGTTGCCTAGCAGCAAAAAAAAAAGTGTTATTAATCTATAACACTACACAAGGCATCTAAGCCATAAGTGGGATTGGAGTTAAGTACAATGAAGTTCTCAGACCCACTTGAGTTCAAATATGATGATAGATTTATATCTAATCCCTCTTCAAGAGCTCAAACCACCTATTTTTCAATTGTTACAGGGGACACTTCCCAGTGTTCTATATATTTATTACTATGAGCTGTAATGTTTTATCACAACATTTCAACAAATCATATAATAAATCACACTTTCCATGTTTCTTTTTAAATTTTATTATTCTTTTTCAAAATGACCAGGGCTCAAAAGTCTGCTAGGGTACCAGTTTTAAGATGTGGTAGTCCCATAGTAATATTGGTTAGTCAATCAGATTGAGTTGATTATTACAGCCATGCAAAAAAGTGTGAATCAAAATAAATAAATAAATGCACAAATTGGTTTAATGAGAAAACAAAGTACTGATTCACCAATTGTAAAAAATAATAGCCCCGGGTTAACATTTGTTAGTCTGTGTGTCCTGGGCTACTGTTAATTCCAACCATCTTATTTAGGACTTTGGTTAGTATAAACAATGTACAAACAACCATCTGACATTTCAGATGCTGCATTTTTACATATGACGCACAGACTAGAACTGCACACAGCCAGTTGGAAAAAATAAATTGCAATAAAACAACACGTATCGAGACATTTAATGTACCCCATATATGAGTGATATACAAGAAGACATAAAATGACCTTGACCATTGTTTTTCAACATCACCAGATCATAAACTGTCTTGGGAAATTCAAGTTTTAGCACCAACTATACATGCACTGCATATAGGTGTGTTGATTGATGATTGATCCCTAACTTAAATAGAGATGGGTTCATTGAAAGAACGTCAAGAAACCCCAACATGAAAGCAGCCATTATTTAATCACTCCTAAACTGTACTCAAGAGTGAAGGTTACTAATAATGCGTGAATCTGATTGGCTCATTGGGCTATGAGTTTTAATATATATTATATTATATCATACATATCACAACATACATCACAAAATATCATATTATTAAGTAGATTCTGATGTTCAAATTCATTTTTTGTTTAATGTTTATTGTGTAGTTGCTGCAAGCGGCAGGATTACACAAGACGGCAATACAGATGGTGAACCCATACGTGTATATGCACGTATTCCACTTACTTAACATGATCCATTCACAGGGTGACACACATAAAGAGGGATATCAATTCATGAGTGGGAACATGCTTCACTTTATAAGAACAGCCCATGTGTTATAACAACACAACCTATAACACAGTGCCCCTACAAACAGTGTACTGTTATCACAGCGTAATTAAAACCAAGGTTGATGGGGAAAAAAGCCCATGCAACATAACAACACAACCTAAACCACCATGCTATCACAAACAAACTTAAACGAGAGAACATTACATGCGGATAATATCGCAAACTATCACCATTACTGTGCACTACTACAAACAGTATGGTTACAACATAACTTAAACTAAGGTGGATGCGAGATGAGATATAATACCGATGCAGTATAATACCACAAATTATCCTCAATATAACACCATACTACTACAAACAGTACAGCTGTACAAGTCGGCATTATATCGACACATGCCAACTACTTGAAGAGCCACGTTCATAGTGAAGTGAGAATTCATCAGATTTTGTGACAGCAATTTTTCACACAATGTAAATATCACATGTAACCCTGCTGTAACAACTGTGATGCTAAAACAAATTTACTAATGCAGCTGAAAACTATGATAAATCTGACTACCAGTCAGTAGAAATTATCGCTATTGATTGAATATAATTTCACGTATAAAATCACTGTGACTCGTTTTTAACGATTCCACCTGAGGAATGCTATAAAAAACTACCGTAGTCAATGTTCGAATAAGGGAAAATGTTTTCATGCCAAAATTAAAAGTAATATGGACCGAAAGTATAGTAATTGAAAGTGAACAATCGGCTGGTCTTGTATGAACGGAAATTAGATGTATTAAATGACCTTTCCAAAATCAAAATTAAACAGGATATGCTAATCATGCATTTTTTTTGTATCAAAATTGAATTTCATTTGTCCAGGCTTATGTACAGAGTTATAGTAGTATGGTCAAAAGGGAAGATTGCAGGCAGTCAACCATCTTTGATTTGATTGTGAACATAATTGTCATGGACATGTATCATAACATGTATAATGTATGTACCAAGTTTCAACAAAAACTGACAAAGCATGCATAAGATACCACATTTTCAAAAACAAAAATGGCTGCCAGTCAGCCATCTTGGATTGAATCAGTAAACCATTGCATGTACAAATGTCCCAGATAAAGTACTAGGTACATGCAAAGAATGAACAGATTTGGTCCACTGGGTTCTGAAATATGACTCCGGGTGGACAGAGACCAAATTATAAGTCCCCAAAAATAATGTGGTGTACTGTATTCCAAATTGAAATGACCCCCCTGTAAATCGTACCCATGGAAACAAGTACAGTTACCCTCATCTTCTAATTTGCATTTTGTACTCCAGTTTTCAATTTTAACCATTCCCTCCCCAGTGCATTGATTACAGAATTTAAAGCATCCAAAAACATATAAAAACATATTTACAATACTAGACAGGCATAAAAATATTTAATGGGAATAATATTCACAACAGACTGTGAATCCCCGACACTAAAACCATCTGCTTACTGGGCCACCTAGAACACAGTTCTGAACAGTGAGGAGACACTTTGTATATCTGTTGCCACCTGACATGATAAGATTTCCAAAAATAAAACAAAAAAGCACTAACCAGAATGTATTTACAAGTAAAGGCAAGTTCAAGGAAATAGAACTTTTGAAAACAAAACCAAACACGTCATTGTTAATGATGTTGAAATTAGGATAAATGTTATTCATTCCAAAAATAAAGTAATATGGACCAAAATCATCGTTAATAATTTAGAGTGAATAATTGACTGGTCTAGTATCAACAGAAATTAGATGTATTAAATCGTAATATATGTCTGAAATTGAACAGGATATGCTATTCATGCATTTTTTGTATCCTAAATCCTGAATTTCATTTGTCAAGGCTAATGTACAGAGATATGAAACACGAAACAAATCATTACAAACATGTATCTCAATATCTATAATGTTTGTATCAAATTTGAAAACCAACAAATCATTTTTTTTAAAAACAAGATGGATGCCAGTCGGCCATCTTTGATCTGAGGGACTACCCGGTACTTAGTGTAGTAAGCTGTTTGTTTCTAAAAGTTGTGCTAAAAAGACACTATGCTTGGAGAAAGATTTAGTATAATTATTTTTGGTTACATAAATCAAGAGAGAAGTATTTTCATTTATGCGATGCCAACTTTCCAAAAATACATAATAAAACAACCATCTTTTTACTTGTTTAGGATTTATGATGATTTATGATTTAAATACAATTTTAAACACATTCATGTAAGGTAAATTGCACTGTCAAACATAAAATGTTATTATTACTTTTTTTTATCTTTATTTTCCCTGTTGCCTGATATTACATTAACAGTACTCATAAATTAAATTTTAAAATACAACACAAATTTAGCAAAATAGGCAACAAATTCATAAAATGTACCATATAAAATTGTTCACAAAATTACCAGACATGAGCTGTATTGGTTATATGGGTGAATTTAAAACAATATTATTATTTTTTCTATTTTTCAGATTGTTACCTAGAAACCCAAGATTCAGTCTTCAGTTTACAGCTCAGTTTCCTAACCCCAAAAAGAAAAAAAATTCTCGTTCAGATCCCATTTTTTGCTAGCACATCAAAACAAGATGGCAAACAAATAGTTTTTAATTTTTTGTACCTCAGCTTCAAGCAATAACCGAGAATCAGCCAAAGAGCATACATGGAAGAGACTATGCAATGCATTCTGGGAAATAAAATGTATAACATCAGGGGAAGACGCTATATATTAACCATGGAAAAGAAAACTTGCCTTGCTGGAACTAACTAGAACACAATGTGGTTCATTATAAATTTAAAGTTATTGTAGTTGATTTTTCTGAGAAAATAAAATGCATTTGTTTTTTGTGTTTTACGAGAAAGGGAGTGAGAACTACCTTTTTTCAAAGTGTAAAAGGATACAATAATCTATGCAAGTTTTTGGCTGGTCTTTGTCCACTAAATTTTGATAGCAGATTTTTTCATTTATGCGTTTACCTAAAAAAGTATTTTCATTCCAAGCAGTACTCATTTACTAGTTTCATTGTCCATTTACTAGGAAAAAACTTTTTCGGAACGAGCATGTTCTAGCATGATCTGAGTGAAGGGTACAACATTCCCCTCACTATTTAAAAATTTGACTGGAGCCTACATTAACTATCAGTTATTTAATATATGCAACATATTCGTGAATAAATTTAACAACTAATCACAAGGTAGAAATATTATTTGTGGTCAGAAAGAACATAATTCTTTCATTGTGGTTTTTTGAAATGCGCAATTGTCTACAATGCCATGCTCGATACGTGCCTAGCACTGCGGTGGAGAATGTGTGGCACTGCGTAAATACTGTGGGGCTGTGGTGGTGACCATCCTACTGATTTTGATTACCTGCCAATGATGCAAAATAATAATAACAAATATGTGTACTTACTGAAATCGTTTTGCATCCCAATAATTTCTCCTGCAATAAAAACAAAACAAATTACGATTAAGACATAATAAAGCACCAGTTCTCGCGTTCTGTTTGATGAACCAGTCCTCGCATCCTGTTTGATGCACCAGTCCTCGCATCCTGTTTGATGCACCAGTCCACGCATCCTGTTTGATGCACCAGTCCACGCATCCTGTTTAATGCAGTTTGTGCACCACCCTTTTTAGACTATCACATTTATTGTATCATGTTCTGTGTGATTCAGCTCCCATACGGGGCAAAAATACATTCAATGTTAACAAATAATAGGCAAATTTGTATTCACTGCGTTATGCGTGAAATCGAATGTAAAATCAAATGTTTTGCAGCGAAACTCATTGAATTAATTTCCTAAGAAAACAAAAAAACAGGTTTGGACGCACATTATTATATGATCTGTCACTACAATTTTAACAGATCAATAACAGAAATCAATTCTTATTTCCAAGACACATCAAATTGTCAACCAAAACTACTGAGGACAACAAATCAAAACTGAAAAACAAAGAATCAAGGAAGGTTTGAAACATTTGAAAAATAACTTTACGTAAAGATTCATTCAATCCAATTTTTCCTATTTCGTAGAAATACAACAATGTGGTCAAATCATCAAAAAAATGTTATGTTATCAAGATGGGCGGAAGATATTTATAAACCTCCATCTCTAAATAAAGTTCCAGTATTGCTATAGTAACGTATTTATCTGATACCCCACCCAGACTGACGTTTTGGAGAATGGGTAGCTAATGTCAACAGGAATGGTCACACCATTTCACAGGCGAATGTCTTACTTGTTTTTTGAGATGTTAAAACGTTGATTATTACCCTGTCATGACTGTAATAGCGTACCAGAAACCACCTGCTAAAGCAGCACCGATGGGCAATGTTTTTGAGGAACACATATTGGATAAATACAATACCAGTTACGCTCAAGTTAAGCTGAAGCTATTCATATCTACCATCATGTGGTGATTTGGTGTGTTCATTGTTAGTTTTTCTAGTCTAATTAATATGCAAAACATATTCAAGGCGAAAAAAAAAAAAAAAAAACTTATTCACTTACTTGAAAATATGATATATTAGAATAACGAGAGGGGTATTTTTTCAGTTTTCTAAACATTTTTTTTCTGTCAGTGGTGGAGAATGCGTTGGTGTCTAATTGGTGGAGAATGCGTTGGTGTCTAACTGGTGGAGAGTATCTGCATTATTATTGCAGAGTATACATGGACATTAATAAAGATGTTGAGCATAAATGTTTTTCTTGTGAATAAAGACATCAAATACAAGATAAAAAGGAAAGACAAAAATTGTTCTATGATCAGAGCCCAGAACGGTAAATCTAAATTTTAATCTGATGTTTTAAAACATAAAAACCCATGAGTGAAAAAATAAATTTTGAAAATAACAGGGTTGGTGGTGGCATTAATTTTATTGAGACGCTGTGAATAATTCCCAGATTAGGGCATGTTCACTTTAATATTCAGGTAGGGGACTCAGGTGGGAAGAAAACGGGCACCCCTCTTCAAGGCACGAAATAACGTGAACAGTTAAATTTTAGTGACCTGGAATTTTTTTCATTTGAAAATGTAAGGATATTTTTGAATGACTTAAAAGCGTCATGGTAGTTCAGCACATGTTCAAAGTTTACAGTACCCTGAGAAAATTTTACGTCCATTCTCAGATTAACTCTTTGAGTGCCACATTTTCTGTAATTTTCACTGAATTCAATCTTAATTTTGGACTGAACAAACAAAATGTGACATTGTTTTTAGCTTTTGATCAAAAAATTTGAAATTTTCTGAGGAAAAGAGCAGAATATAAATGGAACTATTTTGTGGATGGTGCCCAAAGTTGACTTTAGCACTAAGAGAGTCAGATCCAAATCAAAAGAAATTGAGAAATCATCTGGTTTACACAGGTCTATCAAATAACTCCATGAGAATAAGTTGAATAAGTATTTACTAGACAGATTTTGGATTTATGAAGGGCTTCAGCATTTTGTTTGAAAAGGCTCTAATTCTCACAGAAGCATTTACAAATTAAATGTTCAAATTTCTCAAAAAAAACATGTGAATTCCCGATAAATTGCTTTTTAACAGTCATAGAACTGACTGGCTTCTTACCCGACGGTAAGACTGAGGCAGATTCGCCTGGACCTTCTTTCAGTGGTTGCTTAAGTGGTCGTTACTTACTTCAAGAGTGTAGCAGAGAAAGTAAGTTACAGGTAAATCCACCACTTGTAGCAACAACGATATAGACAAGTAACAAGGATATGGAAATGAAACAACTTTGACAGCAACTTGGACAGGAAATATTCCTTAACCCAATAAGGAATACCACAAGCTTTAAGTAAAGAGACTGTGGACTATAACATAACCTCCCTGATACAAGGCAGCATACCCATTATAAAACATGGGTATTTTTGTTTGAAATAACCTTTTGAAAAAACTTTTTGTAAAAATAGTGTTGATAACTTTCTGTTTAAAAGAATGTTAGCAATTTGATAGAAAGCAGGGAGAAAATTTTCATAAAAATACTGGTTACTGCCAGGCTTAATTACTTCACAAATGTATTTAATAGCAGGCCATCATCCTGTAACAACAGGTCAAAAAATAAATAAAAAGGCTCTCAGCAGTGCGAAGTGCTGCAGTGAGACCAGCATAGGCAACCGGCTCTTAACGAAACCCCTGAATACAATTGGTTTTTGTTAAAAAAAAATCAAAATCAAACCTATGAAAAATGTATATTTTATGAAAAACAATGAATTTTTCATTGCTGCAAAATAAAAATGAAATACTGATATAATATGTTCTGGCTGAATTATATTTACTACAAAGTGAATCAATGGTTCTGCTTAAACTGGGACGATACAAAGAAACAGACACACAGGTAGACACACAGGTAGACTCACCATTGCACTTGTGTGTAAACTTCCATCGGGTGGTGTATTTGGCCCATTTGTCCAGGTAACGGTGGATAAATTGGCGGCATTTCACCTGGATGCCTTGGTCTTGGCATACCTACAGTAATTGCATTAAATTGTTATTTTATATTATTTGCATAGCGTAATTAAAACTTGATATTGACTGGGAATATATTTAATCATTCTTTGCTCTATTAATAGAGCATATACTTATGTAAATTTGTTTTATGTGTTTCTATTGGAGATGCACTTCTAATAGAACAAATATGGTATACAATAAATGCAAATTTTGGTTACCGTGGTAATATGTTCTTCTGATGACACAAATGCAGTTTTAGTTTTTTTGTTTTTTTTTACATGCCAAATCAATGTTGCCAGACTTGAGACTTCTACCCCGGAACTGTTATAGCATGTGTTGCCATTATATAGCTATTATGACTCCATCTACTCTGCTAAACTGTTTTGTTCTTCCATCCACAAAAGAATTAGAATATGTTCTTTGTAATCACAATCCTCAGCAGATGCAGGTGTTCAAAAACCCGAATAAATGAGTTGACCATATACGGAATATCAAGGATGAAGGTGAAGGCTGGTTTTTGAATGCGAGGTACTCGCTTGTTTTGATGCATTTCCCATATATTTGAAATGATGCATGCCTTTTTAATTTACAAGACAATATTTTAACAATTTCAATATGGTAAATCTCTCCATCCAAAGACTAAATTGAAGTTTGTTATTAAAGCAAAATCATTTTCCCAATCTAGTCGCTATTTAAACTTAAACCAACATATTATTTATGAGCGAAATGATTAACGTTGAACTCATTAACAATTCAACTAATCAAATAGCTACCGGTATTTGAATTTTGTTAATGCAGGGCTGTCAGATAACAAAGAGGCTAGGGTAAATGACTACAGTCGTACACACAAAAAAACAAAAACTAATTTTTCTTTAAAAAAATGAAAAGATGAAAATTTTGAAGTCATCAAAATTTAGAATAAAATTTCAGTTATCAATTTAGGTACGAGACGATGTAAACAACAGCGTGTCATAGATGTCAAATTATTCACCATCCAACTGCTGTTCATGATCGTGCTGATATGATGTTTATGGAGATTAAAATGACAAGATGACACCGAAATGTGAAAACACATCGGTGCTTTGAAAGTGTTTGCTAGAAGCGCTTATACAAATTCACAGCATACAAAACAAAAAGGATGTGTGTTTTATTTTGAAATTCATTTTCAACTTCAACAGCGGCAAGTTGATCCCCAAACCATCAAAGATATACGACAGGGTTTGACATTACTCTCTGTCCTTATGTGTGGTTTTCAGTTTATTTTTTTTGTGATGATTTTGTCTCTTAGCAAACGCTTTGGTGTCCTCCGCCTCACAGGCTGTACACGCACGGTTCATTAATTTTAATTCATACTTCGAACAATAAAAATATTTTATATGCCATGACGTACCTGTTTTAGGGTCCAGCTCTAACGGTGAACCAGGTGGTGCCAGATGAGGTGGTGGAGTGGTACCGGGTGGAAAATGGTCATTGTTGTACATTAACGTTAGTTGGGCTAAAGGATTTGGGTGTCCTGCCGGGTGAACCACAGAAACCTTGTTTGTCTGAGAAAAAATAAAAACATAAAACATAAGCAATTAATGATTAATCAACACCAATGTCAGACCTTACTTTCTATAACTCTCCTATTTTGAAGACATTTTAATAGCGTAGCTCCCTAATCACCCACATTATTAACTTTTTTTACCACCAGATTTTCTTACCTAAATTTGTGTGCACTTTTTTCTTATATTTTTCAATATTTCTGGAAATGTACCCTAATTTTGGAGCCAACAGACAAAATCTTGAGTCAATTTTAAGTTTTTACTCAAAAAATTTGGCTATTTTTGTCCCAATTTTCTGAAGAAAAATGCAGACTATAAATGGGACTATTTGGTGGATTTGTGATGAAAAGAGGAGAAAAGAGGAGACTGGTGGTGAAACGGTTAACTATAATTTTTTTTTTTAATTTCTGTCAATTAGTATTTCAAATTCAAAGTGTTTTTTTTTTAATTTGCTTTTTCCATAGTGATCAAGGTACATTGTATCCCAGTAATTTTTTTAAATTATCCATATATAATTTTCACATCCTAATTTTTGAAGGGGATAATCACATAATCTAAACCAGTGTTGGCAAATAATTATAACGTATGGATTAATCCATATTAAAGCAGCCATTTTTTTTCAACCAAAATTTGTTTTATAAAATAAAAAGATTTCTGCTTATTTTGCAGGATTGGGAGTGGGCTGTTTAAAAAGATTTATTTTCAGCACTAGAAAATTGCATAATTTGCAACAATATGTTTCAAATTCACTGATTTACAATTTACCAATTTTACATCAAAATTTCTCGTTTACTTATACTGTCATTAATTTTTAAAATTCAAGAAAAATCCTGAAAATGTGTAGCAGTGAGCTAGTCACCGGTGCCTTTCACAAGAAGTCACCATGACTATTAGGAAATGTCTTCCTCTTGAACACAATTAAATCACAGAATCACAAATATTTATTGTTGTGACTATTCAAATTTTTTGTCGAGACATGATGTGAGATACAAGAGAAGTGTTATCAAAAGAAGTGAAAGATTTTGAAATGACGAAGAGAAAGGAAGCAACAACATTCACAGTTATTTTTTGTGTTTACTGTCTGAATTACACCTTATGGAAAAACACAGTATAATGTACTGTAAAATGACTAATTTTCACTGGGTTTAAATTTCACTGATTTAGTGTTTCAGGCATATTTAGTGGGTTTAAAATTCACGGTTTTATCATTTGGATAATGTGTTCCATGCTCAATTTTACATATTCACTGGGTTTTAATTTAGCGCATTTTCCAGTCAGCGAAAAAAGCCAAATTAAAACCCAGTGAATAATTAACCCCTTTACAGTACTGAAAAGCAGTGGCGATAGCGAAAGGCTATGTTGTAAAAGTTTTGAAAAAAAGCAGTTTTAATCAATTTTCAGCGAAGCAACAAACAATTATACCACATTCATCACGTATAGCCTGTTGAATTTTTCAAGTTTGAATTTATAGGGGCTACACAAAATAAAAATATTGGATGAACAACTCATCAAGACAGATATTTGTCATCACAGATTGGTCAAGTAATAGCATGGTAGAGTTGAAATTTGATTTCAAGTTGAAATAAAATAATTTTCATTTTAGTGAAACCTGCAATTGTTATTTTTAACGCTAATAAAATATCATATTTATTACAAATTCAACTTGAAAAATCATATTGCCTGTCATAACAGGATAATTTTAAATTGTGGCCATTATACACTTTATTAAGATCTCAACCACATGTCATGCTGACAGCGTGACAATAGCCGATCCCGTCCTCCCAACGAGCCATTCAGAAAAGTATATATTCCGTGAAAATTAACCGCCTCATATTTCAATAGAAGCCGGAGCTTGGCGCTCATGTCTTATACTATGAACACAAGCAACCATACGGTAAAGCGAATTGATACAGATTGTACCGTCTAAATCCAACATAAACGCAACAGACCCGTACATATGCCACCAATGAAAGGGCGAGCACAATGAAAAGAGTGTGCAAGACAGCAGAACAGAATAGTGCGAAAATTCAACAAAACTGTGAATGTCTGAACATGTTCGTGTTGTTCGAAAATTAATTTTTCAACTCAAATCAGAGATTAATACAGCAAAGATTTCTGTGGGTAGGCTCAAAACAGAACCAGAGTGATAAGGCTCTTTACATTTAAATATTGATTTCAACGGGATTTCCACTGACGATCTTTAAGTATTAAGCGTATTTTCTATAGTGTTATATATTTCATATTCATGTTACTGGTACTCTTAAGTGGGTAGTGTCATCAAATTTTACTGGCAATATATCAATTTTAGTTTTCTGAGAAAATATACTATTTTCTCAAACTCTGTATAAAAATTGAAGGAAATTACAAAGCGTGTTTTAGTATATGAATCAAAATATCAATGCAATCTCATATTTCTGTTGAAGACTCAACCAACAAGAGAGATTTGATACGATGAGTACGGTATACCACCTGTTCTTAACCCTCAGAAGACAAACAGAAGTCAAATTTTGTCACTTTTCAAAAAAAAAAGACTTTCAAATTCTGATCAAGTTTTCTAAACAATGGAAAATTACGTCCATTTAGGTCCAAAATTAGCAAAGAAATTAAAGAAAAATATATAAAAGTGTGGAAAATGTTTTTTTTCTAGCACACATATTCTCAGACACATTGTGTCACATGTAAACTATACTTTCTACTCAGATGTCTGGACCATTGTTTGTCTACACAAAAGAAGTTACACAACACCTCACGTAACACGCAGACTACAGCCACACAATCCTCAAAATATACTCAAAAAGTGTTTTGGGGCTTCAGCGAATTTATTCATTTTCAAAAGTATCAGTTAATTTCTGCCAATAATCCTGTGTACCAGTATATCATACATTTTCTTACCAATATTTTGTCAAATTTTTTGTTTTATTCTAAAAAATTTTGTTGATTTTGAACGAAATTAACATAATTTTTCTATTAGCCACAGATCTTGATCAACATTTAAAAAAAAAATTCTTTTTTTTGAGTGAAAAGTACTGAAACTATCACTTGGGCATTCTGAGAGTTAACAGCAACAGCATTATAGTGATTCCCATGAACTTCACGAAAGTCACTACGACTGATTTTCCATAGAGCACAAGTCAAATTTTCACAGATTTTGAGACAGAGACCGAGAATTACTATACTGTCCTAAAGTCCTTGGCAAGAAACAGAATTTTATTTTTTTTCTGTCAGTACAATGAAACAAGCAGTCACTCAAAACAATCTGAAAACCTGAATTCTTCATTTACATTTTAATAAAAATCTACATCTTATTTTTTATAGGTTAAAGGTCAAAAATCAAAGGATATGCAAATAAGGTAACCTGAAATGACCTTGAATAACTTTAAATGAATAACCTAATTTTAGCTGGAATTTCTCTTTGGGGGGGGGGGGACTATCACTCCATCGAAAGTGAAAATTTAATAATGATAATTTTTGGAGATTGAAAATTAGACAGAATGCGACCATTTAGTGATGAGGGAAGCATTAAGCAGTCTTGTTTTGAAGAACCTGTTTTTACTTGTTACGTGAAATCGTTAGGCAAATAGACATTCTTATAGTGCTCGATTTTGTTCATTGAACGCTAACTTTGAATTTGTATGTGTACAGAAAGTCAAAGTGAATACATGTTTTTTTTTGGACAAAAATACATGAAGTGAAAATCCTTAGTGAGAGGAGGTCATGTGAGGTCAATTTGCAATAGAAACCCGCATCTCTATTGACTTTTTTCACTTGACAAGAGCCACAGCACACTGATGCGAGGGATCAAACCAACAAAGTCTCTTATCATTTTGCTTTCTCCCTCAGTAAACACAAACAATTGGGATGTAAAAAGGTGGTAAAAAACAACAAAGGATTTTTTTGAAACAGAAAGCCGTTATAATCCCACAACTGCTACACATTATTATTTTTTCAATCGCGCAAAAACTTATTCCTGACATACTCATTCTCAATTCCAAATTAACGCATATTCTAAAATATATTTGTGTTTTTTTTGTTTTTTTTTAGAACTTTCATAAATTCTATGAATCTGTCTTTCAGATATTTGATTAATCTGCAGGGGAGTTTGAATGATGAAGGAACAACTGTTTCATTTGTTAATACAGTCCATCCATCCTTCATAATGTCAGCTTCCCAACCCCCTCAATTATATTGCATTGAAAAGGTGCCAATTGTCAACAACAGACTTGTATTCCAAAAAAATAAGAAATATCAACCACAAAAAAAAAGTTTTTTTTTTGTGAAATAATAAAAAAAAAGTGTCAAAAGTGCAAAATTAAAAAAAAAAACGCTATAGTAATTTCTGATGGAAAGTAGTGCATGCGGTTCTTCCAATGAGAACACACTGCAGCATCAAGATAAAAATAATAAATAAATTTATAAACTGTTGGTCAAACATTCTCTTACTTATTACCGTAGCTATCAACATTTTAGGTCTCATAATACATTTTGCTTGTTTTGTTTTGATTTTTCAACACTTTATTTAATTAATTTTTGAATGAATTGACATTATCTCTCCCATGCCTACATGTCTTGACCAAAAAAGAAATTATGAAAACATTTGTGCATGTTTTTTCTTTTTTTTTTCTGTGAAAGGCGACAAAAAATGACTATGGCGTCCAAGAGAATAAAGAAGGGGACAGAGAGAGAAATATTGACATTGGCAACTTTTCAACTTTGAGAAGGGACGAGGATTTTTTTTTAGATTATTTTGTTGATGGGGGGAAAACATAACCTTCATTCCCAAAATTTAAATTTAATAATTTGTGTTGGCCCTTACTCATTCTGCTATTACATTATATAATTTTTCAACAATCTGATTTTTTCCTACACAGCAAAATTTGAGATTGCTGTTAAAACCGAACACATGGTAAAGTTTTGTTGACAAAATAAGCCTGAATAATTTCTTATTTTTTAAAATCTTGATGCAAATTTTGTCAAAATTTTGATCTACAATTGAACGAGTA